AACCCTCTTGGACGCAGCCCTGTGCCACGTGCTCTGGGTGACCCTGCGTGWGCAGGGGGGTTGGACTAGATGACCTCTGAGGTCCCTTCCAACCTTCGGCATTCTATGATTCTATGATTCCATGATTTTATGATTCTTAGCCACCATATTGCATATGCACAGTGAGACAAAAAACACAGGCAAGCAGATAAAAACACATTTTAGATCTCTTGAATTTGGCTCAAATGTTAGTTTTCATAATTTGAAGATGCTGTTTTTATAAAAGCTTGATGAGTGATAGGTTGGATAAAGCTGTAATGAGAATATCTACATTTTTAGAACTATAGCTAAAAATTTGCCCTTTTCAAACTCATGTAAAAGTATTACATTTATTTCCATGACAAAAAGCCTGGTATTTCAGGATATTAGGTTCCAATACTAAAACTGTTGTAAGTTTTATAACACTGGAAGAATTAACGTTTTTATATATCTCAAGAACTAGGAATGCATATTATCACTACAAATTATTTTAAAGCAAGTTTACTCTAAAACTACTAAGAGTAATTTTACGAGGAAAAATCATTATTAAGGAGGAGGAGCTGTGAGGTAATGATATCTGATTTTCCATCTACATGACACAGGAAGGACTATGGTATTTAGAAAAATAGGGCAGATTTTTGTGGCAAAATCTCTGAAGAAAACCTGCTGTGGTGTGGTAAGTAACTTTGAAAGTGAGTAAATAAGTTACATTAATAGATGGATTGTTGGATGTAAAATGGTAACTCGGTAATTATATTTCTTCACAAATACATAGTAGCCATCCAGAATTAGAGGTACTCCTCCATACTTTTAAACACAGGTAAGTAAGAGCACAGAGAGTCTGAACTGTGACCGTTGATATGTAACTTTGCTTGTGGTCTCGTTCCTAAACAGCTGAACATCTAATTCATCAGTCATATTAAAATATTTAATCATATCAATATTTAATGTCACCTGCTTATATGAACTCCATGCCATGTTCTTTTTGACTCATGTGACATCATCAGGAATCCAGAGTTTGCAATGGGAATTTAGCCAATAACTACTGATGACAGAAGGTCCGGAATACAATCTTTTTTATATTCCCAAGCAACATTAGCTTCTGCACTGCGGTCAGTAATGCTAGGTCAGCACCTAGAACTAAACTAACAATTCTGTTAATGATGCACGAGTGGAATACAGATGCTGGTTAACAGGCATCTGCCTGTTAAGTTAGTTTGGTACAGCTTATATAATAACAGTAATATTAGAAAATTTTATTTTCATGAGGTAAAAGTCTGCATATTAGAAGCCTTGTGTACATGTGCATAATTTTTTTAAAAACATACAAGGTAATATAAAGAATGGCACAAGAAAGGCCATGAAGAGAAAAAAGACAAGAATATCAATGTGATGAGAAAGAAGTGACACCTTCCACAGTATTGATGATCTGCTTTCAATGCCAAAGTGCTAGAATGCCGCCTAGATTTGCACTTCRGTATTTCTGTGCCTTGCCTCCTTTTGTTTTCATTCCACCTACACATCAAAATGCCCTTTCACAGAGAACGATTTTCAGTGGTGTAAAATACTGTAGAACCCTCTGTAAGTACATCTAGATTCAGGTTTTTCTGAAAAAAAAATCTCTTTTTTTCTCAAAAATTCTGAAAAAAAATCTGTTTCTGAGCTTTTTCTTAACCTGATGCTTCTGCTGGCCTTCTTCATGGATAGAGGGGCTTAAGGAAAACATAAGGATATGCATAAGTGTTAATGCTGCAGAAAAAAAAGCCTCACCTGCTTTTCCTTTTRGAAACTCCTGGAGAAAGAGAGGGCTTAATATCATATTTTTAGAAAAGGGAGGCCTCTCGTGGCCAGATACGAAAACAGCCTTTTTTTTGCAGGAACGGCTGAGGGGGGTGTGCAGCCACCCTGGATCACAACAGCAGGGTCCAAGAGCTGCTGTGCCAGCTCCCCTGCCCCACTTCCAGCCTTCGTCTGCCTGGTGGTCCAGGGAACTGAAATACTGCATAGGAAAGCCAGGAGTGTGGACATGGATCTGCTTGGTGGTTCTTCAAAACAGTACTGAGGCAGGGCTGTGTGAGGGTGGGTAAATATCTCAATATGATTGTAGATGCCCTGTTACCACCGAACAAGTCAGAAGCAGATTACCCTGTTCTTGCTGTTCCTCTTTTCTGTATTGTTAGGATGTGTATGCCAGTGATATGAATGTACATATTCTTTTGGAGTCTTTTATTTTTCAGGAAGGTCAAAGCAATAAAATGACTAGACTTTTATTTATTTATTTATTTATTTATTTATTTATTTATTTTGCTTTTTATTTTATTTTATTTTATTTTATTTTATTTTATTTTATTTTATTTTATTTTATTTTATTTTATTTTATTTTATTTTATTTTTTGCTTTTCAGATGGATTCTCCTGGAGAAAGTCATATGAAAATGCTCAAATTCTCTTTTGTAGATTCCTGTTAATCAAAAGCAGAACAGATGTTCTATGAGACGCTCAAGCTATAACAAGCTTCACATATCTTCATTATTTAAGAAATATATGACATAAGCCATTTTTAAATGTTTTGGATTTTAGAAGACAGCGAGAAACATTTTTAAATGTTCAAATAGAAATACTTTGCTTTTCTCAATTTATTATTGCTTTGGTTCTTATGAATTAATCTGAACTACCTTCCCAAGAAATGGGTTCACACTTGTCCATTTTGTTAGCTAACAAGATAGGGCCTTTTCATTTCATAATGAGGAATTTGTACTTAATTGCAGACTGCTTCAATACAGTTGATGTGCTAAGTCTCCCAACTTGTTCAGAAGTAAGATAGGAACCTGAAGCAATAGTAAATTTCCCAGTACTGAGATTACTGTTTTTTGAAATTAAGACAAAATAAGCATAGTTAAATGCATATAACTAAATGTCAGCTCACAGACATGTGTGGCTATAAAATTATGAAATACTAGTAATTGCTTTCCATCTCTAAGGCACATATTTGAACATGTACATACCTTAAGGAATGAATAATTCCCATACAAGCTTTGCATTTCCATAATTTATCTRAAAAGCTGCTGTGGGATCTGATATAGATCTCATTAAATCAGCAGTCTGATGCTGTTTGAACTTCAGGGATAAATGAATTGCATCTGTTATAGTCGAGAGAAATACAGCCTTCAGATTCCTCCATGTATATAATTTTTTGTCCTCAACCTCACAGTGAAGATATTTTAGTCATCTTGTTACTACTTCTCTCYTGATTTACAGAATAAGTTTAAAATCAACATGTTCCTTTCAAATGGAGCCATTTTATTCTCTTTAATTGCCCTTCTAGTAATCTAAACTAGGTAACAGAACACAACTCAATCTCAAATGTCTATGTTTGATATTAAATAGATTATTTGAAAAAGAAAATTGAAATGAAAGAGTGATCTGGTAACTTACAAAATAAAACACTGATTTCAATGCTAATCTTTTTTTTTTTTAAATGTAGTCTCTAATGTATATAAATTTAAAAAAAAAAAAAGGGGGGAGAGAGAGAGATCTAGGTTAGAGACCATGAGGGCTGGGGTGCATAGGTGTCTTCCAGCTCTCTTAGACGCACAGCTTTGCAGAAACATTGCATCCCTATTACCCATTCTAAGCAAGCTCTCCAATTTTTTGAATATTTAAAATTAAGGTATATAAATTTCCCAAAGTTTACTGTCAGTAATACAATGACTAGAATCAGATAGGTATAGGAAGTCACTCATTGCATGTGCCCTTCTGTGGCTATTCATGAATGACTGCAAGAAGTCACCAGGCAGTTGCAGGCCTGCAGTTGTGGCCGTTATGTGAATGGTGTGTACTGGAAGCTGGTTTTGATTTCTTCCATTTTGATTTATGGGATTTTTGATTTGTTCATTAACTTATCTCTTTTAGTGAATTAATTCATCCCCTGACTTAATATTCTCAGCTTAGTTGGTGATATTTAACAGCCCCAAGGGTGTTCATTGCTGCTGACTGTTGCCCACAGGCTTATTATTAGAAGATTCAAGAGACTATTGACAAATGAACTGTATTATTATTAATTGTTTAATTATCGAGGATATTCACTTTTGTATCTGGTGTTTTCAGACCAAATCAAAGTTTAATAGCTATAAATCCAGATGAAAATTTTTGGCTCAGTTGACACTGATAACAAAACTCCTTTAGATTACCTAAGTGTCAAAATTTCACTTGATGGTGGGCTACCCAGCACATAAAGAAGTGGTATGTATAGGTGAGATATCTTGGGTCACCTTTATGGTTGAGGCAGTAGTTGGTATGAGATGAGATATGGGCTATGTAAGCTTCCCATGACATTCGGTCTGATTCAGGAGATAGTGCTTAATGGATGAGGCTTGTGCTATCAGCAATCACATCTTCTAAGCTATCTCCATTCTGGGAAGCGTTTTCTGATGGAAGCTTCTAATTTTTGTTACCAAGTACTTTTCAAGGACCTTACTTAGGGTTTACTTAGGGAATAGAAAAAAAAAAAAAAAAAAAAAAAAAAGCAAGATTGCAAAATGCTTCTAGACTTCATCTACAAAAATAAGGACAAGGGTGCTCTCTCTGGTGATTGAAATAACACAGCTTCAGGAAAAAAAGATGTGTTGTTTTTATAGCTTTATCTTTAGTGCTACCTGCTCTATGGAAGCACTATGTGGTTATTATTCTACCAGCAACTAATGCTGTTTATACGGAAATGGTCCAGTTCAGGGTGTTTTCTGGTAACCATTACAATTCTTTTCTTCCCTAAGAGAACAACCCTGTGTATCCTTTACATTCACAGTGCAAATATTGTTTGCAGGAAAATAAAAAGCCATCCTTAAAAAAAAAAAAAAAAGAACACACCCTGCCATGTGATCTCCTTCCCAGCGCATCCATCTTCCTGCGCTGCCCAGGGGAGGCTGCGGAGGCCCCTTCCGCGGCCGCTTCCTCCTCCTCCTCCTGCTGCTGCTGCTCCTCGGGGAGGCGGCGGGCGGCGGGCATGGCGCTGSCCAGCGGGGCGCCGGGCCGCCTCGTGCTCTACCACTGGACCCAGTCCTTCTCCTCGCAGAAGGTGAGCGCGGCTGCCGGGCCCAGGGAGGCAGGAGGCCGCCCAGGGGCGTTAGCTCCACCTGGGAGGGAAGGCAGAGGGATGCTCAACGCTGCCAGGCCTTTCCGAGGGTCCCGGTGCCTCCGTGGGGGTGCGCGGTGCCCAAAAATCAGCCCGCGCGGCCGTGAGTCCCGCTGCCYGCCAGGCCCTGCGCTGMTGCTGCTGCTGCTGCCCGCGCAGCGCGGCGCCTCCGGAGYGCCCTGCCCAGGCTCCCCGGCAGCCGCCACGGGAGATGCGCCTTTCGGATGTGTCACCTCAAGGGCCCTGTTGCAAAGGTGCCTGGCAGAGGCTAGTYATTAATATTAAGTGGAGAGGTTTGCCCAAAGCAAGCAGTAGATCCACAGGGGGAGCCCGGTCCCCTAAGCCTCTGCCTCACCCAACGTGCATTTGTCCTCAGAATATTTTCCATGGAGTAATATCGCTAATATCTCTCCAGGTGCGCTTGGCGATAGCAGAAAAGGCCCTAAAATGTGAAGAGCACGATGTAAATCTGCCGCTGAGTGAACACAACGAACCTTGGTTTATGCGCCTAAATTCGTCTGGAGAAGTCCCCGTCCTAATCCACGGGGAGAACATCATTTGCGAGGCGACGCAGATTATTGACTACCTTGAAGCAACATTCACAGATGGTAATTTTGTAGGCATTGCAGTGGGCTGTCTTTCCCCTGCACAAGTAAATGTGAAATTGTTTCTGTGTTGCTGTTTTGTAGTAATTTGTTCACAACCAAGAAATATTTATAAATCTCACAAGAAAATATCTCCAGTAGTTGTTGGTGGTAAGGGATAAAAATATGTTCCTTTCAGGACCGTCCAGCACCCATAAAAAAAAATAAAGAAATGAAAACAAGCAAACAAATAAAACCTTCCCAAATCCAAAATGGGTCATTTTTACTCATTCTGCTAGTGTGGCAGTAACTGGCATGAAAACATAGTTCTGTGCTAGTCCTGTAATCAGGCTATCATTAAAAGAARTAATGTTTTGGACAGTAAATTGCAGAAATTATGCTCTCCCAAGACAACTCCGCTTTTTTGTCCAGTAAAAAAAGAATGCTGTACCTTGCTGGTTAATTCCAGAAAAAAATGAACAAGTGCAAGGTAGAAGAAACTAATTGTTTTTGGTGCCAAAAATGGAAGAAGAAGGAGAAAAAAATAGGAAAAATAAAATTAAAAGTGAACTTATGCAAACTTCTGAAATTCTTCAGGTCTATATTATTGGAAAATGGCCTATCTTATTTTTCAAGAAAAGATTTAAGGTAAACAGTGGAAATATTTTATTTTGGGAGGCACATGGATAGATATTGTTGTGTTTCTGCAGTAGCTTTAATTGATTTCCCTAGCATGAATAAAATAGCACTGCTGGTGAAGATAATATGAATTTAATGCTGTCACTTTACTCAGATGAAGTGTCACGCACAGGGTAAATGGTGGGCAGAGTAAAACTCAGTGGTGTGCGGCAACACCTCTAACTGGTGTTTGGAATGGGATACCTTTACTACCATTTTAATAATGTTACTGCTGCAATGTTAGAGTCATAATAGTTTATTTAAACCTCTCTTTGCCCTGTTCTGAAAGGCTATAGGGTCATGTGCTATGATCATGTTGAATCCAGCTCCCTTTTTCAAAAGTCTCTTAAAACTTCTCTATGTGGGTTGCTGCATAAGAATATAACTATTCAAATGTTTTAGAATGAAGTGTGAGTACATACGTTTTTCTGAGAAGTGATAAGCCTATTGGGTTACAGAGGAGAAACCTGCTCAGCAGAGGAAGCCCTCTCAGCTCTCTTAGCATGGCTCTGTCTTTTGTGCTACTTGGGTAAAACTGAGGTAATTTTTGATATATTACTGTTGACAAATGACTTGGTTCTTCATTTTTAACTCTCATTTTATTTTATTTTATTTTATTTTATTTTATTTTATTTTATTTTATTTTATTTTAATTTTGTGATTGCATTGCAGAGGGAGTACCAAGATTAATGCCAGAAGAAGGGAGCATGTATTACCCCAGGGTGCAACACTACAGAGAGCTTTTAGACTCCTTGCCTATGGATGCCTACACTCATGGCTGCATCCTACATCCTGAATTAACAGTGGATTCCATGATTCCAGCCTATGCTACAACCAGAATTCGTAGTATGTACTGATACAGATATGAGCCTGTATCATTTACCTGGATGTTTGATTACATTAATGTGATATTCTATTTCTGGGCCTTTAGCAGAATATGTAGGGCACATATTTCTGGTTATAATTGTAGTCCTTGATAGTTTCTGACTATACTTGGTRTTTGTTTTTGTAGTTTATGATGATTCGGAAGTGTGGAAGAGGAAGTGCTRTTTTCTAGGCATAAATGGAGTGAATTTTGCTAGTAATTGGCAACATGCTTAAAGGAAAATGGCAGTTGTGAGTGTTTTAAGTTCTGGTCTTGCCGCTTATACTTTTAAAACCATTTACAAGGAACTACAGTATTACTACTCACATCAAATCAGTACTGAAGAAAACTCTGCATTTTTATATGTAAACTTGTAATAATGAAAGTATTCCTATTTAATAGCAGTTGTTTTCCTCTCAGTARAAGTTATACAAAGGAGATTAGCCCCAGTGAAAAGGAGTATTTGATGTATTGCGTTCTCAGAGATCATCAGGCCCCATTTTATTAGTAAAATAAACTGGTATAAGGTTAGTGCTGGGYTAGGCAAAGGAAAAATGAAAGGTCTATGGAAATAAGTAGCCTGGGTTCCCCTAACAAATGAAAATTGTTCAAGCTCAATTTAAACTAGAATCCTGAGTGCAAATAACCCAAATTTTAGAATCACAGAAGCTGAAGAGGAGAACATGATGGTGTGGTTCCTTAGAATCAGCAGTAAAGTGTCCTTTGACTTCCCTGAGTATTTTGTTTGTGGTTATCTGTAGATACCAGTTTCCCGTTAATACATATATACTAAGGCTTGAGTTAAGACCTGTCTAGCCTGGTTCCCTGTGTAGTAGAGGATTTGCTTGAGTTAATTCCTGTTTCAAATATAATAAAAAAAAATAGTTCAAAAAAAAAGTTAGTTATATTCAGAAGAAAACTTGGCAAATCATCATTTTGTGCTAATAGTTCTATTTTTGGTGGGGTTTGGACACCAGAATTGGACAAAGGATTTCTTTCACTTTGATGTCATATATGGAAAGAATTTTTAGTTCTTCTTCTTTTCTTCTTCTTTTTTTTATTTTTTTTCCCTAACTGTAATATATCTATGGACCTGTAATATATCATTGGTCCTGCTTTTTGCTGCTGAACTGCACTGCAAATCTTCTCTGCTGAATACCCATGGTGACCTCAGTCTAGCTTTTCAGAACTACTTGCAAACTTAAAGTTCTCTCTCCAGGAAATGTTTTTATTTTATGTTGGAGCATGTTGAAATATGGTTGCTGAGGCCCAGCAAACATCCAACAGAGGACATTGGGTATCAGTTTTTTCTTTTATTTATGATGCTCTCTGTCTTTGTACTGTGGAAAATTTTGATTAATGCATTTATTTTTGCTTAGAAGAATTATAAAGGTATTAAACAGTTCTAGGACAAGAATTAAATATTTCTATGACAAGAAAAAATGTGCTCAATGATGATTCYCTGTTCACAATGACATTTTGAGATCTCTGATTTTTTTCAGCATTGTTTATATTATGTTGATTTTTGCATTATATTTTGAGTATTCCGTAGAACAATGTCAAACACCRCAGGGAGTTTTAAATATAATACATATATATTATTAAATTCATAATTCATAGAAAATGATGTTAGTTTGAAAAGATCTGTTTCCAAGAAACTGTATTAGTCTCTTCCCCCAAATTTTTAGCAACTTAATCCTCTATCTGCTACCCCATGATTTTGCTGAAATTGAAAGCAGTTATTTGTTGCATGAGTTATACTTCATAATAGATTAGCAAAATTTTAGTTTCCTTTTTGTTCAATGGAAATTTATTCAAGGTCCCACATATTTAAAAGGTAGTGTTGATGTTCCAGTGATCAGTGGTTATGTAAAAAAAAAAATGCACAGAAATTAGCTGGACCAATATGGATGGATGATTTGTGGAACAGCAGTTAGTATTCTCTTTTACTGAAGGAACATGAAGTATTGTCTTACACTTGCAGTGCATCATATGGCTTTCTGGTCATCATTATTTACTAAGCAATTTTACTTCACTTACAGGCATTTTGGCATTTTTGTGGCTCATTTTACTATTTTGTCTTTTGCTCTGCTGACCACAGGCATATTTTTCCTTTATTGCCTAATTGGTATTAATTGTTGTCAGTTTACACAAATATGTGCAATCAGCTTATATGACTAAAGATGAAATTACACAAGTCAGGATGTTTTCTTATCTTTGATTTCCTATTTTAACCCGTAAATACAACCAGCTTTCTTGATTTTAACCTTTTCTATTTTTTTGACGAGGAGGTGATAGATCACAAATAGTCTAAACAATTCCTTTGCTTGTTCAAACTTTTCCTGGATAGTTTAACTTTCAGCTTTGAAAAAAATGGTCTTTTTTCCAACTGCTAGATAATAATACCTTTGCAGTAAATTATGCATTATTATTACATGTAGCAAATGCAATTAAGTAATTAATTGCATATATAAGGCTTTAGTTGTGTGATTACATCCTTTAATTTCTTCATATGCTATGTTGAAAAATGGCTTTCACAGTTACCTCAGGTTGAAACAAGGAATATATGAAACAATGAATTCATTATTGTCTAGCAAGAATTTTTTATCAGTTTAATTAAAAGGCTTAATTGGAAATAATGTTAATTAACACGTACATATAGGAAGTGATTCATTCCATATAGCTATTGTTCTTTTCTTAATTTATTACTGGAAGTGTTTTTTTTAGAAGATTCCTTCTTACTTACTGCCTCTCTTTTGATATTTTAGGTATGCAAATAAGGTGTTTCCATCAAAGTTTCATTTTAAAGAGAAATTAAGGTTCCATGCATGTAAAAGATATCTTCGTGTCACTCCTTCTTTAAATCATATACCAAATGTTTTTCTAGGACACCAATATACTCTGTGATGAGCATTTCTGAACGAGTTCACAGATTTTGGTGTCACATTTTAGCTAACTCAAAACACCATAGTCCTATATGCAGTGGCCTGTAGACTTTTGCTATGGATTTATGCACCTGACCTACTGTGAAATTACTAAGAATCTCAGGATGAGCCCTTCTGCACATCCACAGCATCAAAATGTGCCAGGAACCCAAGAATTGAGGCACAAAGCAACCAGAGATCGGGGTATTTGTAGATGAATTTCAGGGATTGAAGATAGTTACAGCAAAATGGTTTTGTCTGAGTGAGAGAAAAATATCCTTATTCTTTCTTGGCAAGCCGCTAATTACGGAGTTCACTGCAAACTGATGGTGTTGTGGTATCAATTTATGCAGCTGCTTGTTAACTTTTCCAAACACAATGTTTTGAATCCCCACTTGGTAGGAATATTTTATTCAAGAATCACTTTTATTTTTGGTGCATTGCTTTCCTCTGATTTATCAATCATTTTCTGTATTTCTYTAACTTTTTTACCAGGCCAAATAAGTAATACAGAATCAGAACTAAAGAAACTTGCAGAAGAAAACCCAGACCTTCAAGATGCCTATATAGCAAAACAGAAGCGCCTTAAAGTAAGAAAACAGTTTCTATTCCATCCTGCTTTACCTGCTTGCTGGTGTCAAGTTCTTTTTTTCTGTAACAATGTAAAAATTCTGTTGAATATAAATATTCACCTGGCACTACCAGTATACTTATGTACTGGGTTAACCCTAAACTCAGCGTGAAGCAATCTATCCCTCAAATCATCTACACACTTCAAGCTGGTCCCACTGTCTTCAAAGGTAAGAATATATCTGCATTGGTGTGGGATATAGAGCACCCTGCAAGCTCAGGGAAACTAGATATCTACCACCTCCATAAAATGTTCTCCTTTTGTTACCTGAACTATCAACTGTATCCAAATGGTAGCTGGCTGGCTGGGTGCAAAAAAATATCATATTTTATGATTAAGCACTGTAGTATCTAATGAAAAGTTTGTCTGATAATAGTATAAATTCTATACAATGATTAAAACACTGACTTCTATATACATACACATTTAGTCTAAACTGCTGGATCATGATAATATAAAGTACTTAAAGAAAATACTAGATGAACTGGAAAAAGTTCTGGATCAAGTTGAGACTGAATTGCAGAGGCGAAATGAGGAAACACCAGGTAAGGAATTTTTCTTGCTAATTTCTGTTGAAACTTATTTTGGAAAGACTGAATAAATCAGTTGACAATACCATTATAGGACTTTTTAATGCATCTGATTTTATAATTTTAGCACATACTGATGTGTCTTCACAGAAGAGATCATACTGTTTTAAACCTTAGTTTACTGAYGCTGTTTGTGGGTAGAAATCTTATACATTGATTTTATAGTGATTGTTCACATTTTCATCATAACTTGAGTAAAATTAGTTCTGCAGACAAGAAAACCTGAACTAAATAATGTCTTCCTGAAGTTGTAACTCTCAGTACACTGTTATAAACATGACCTTAATGTTAAACATGTTGAAATGTTAAAATCAAGATCTCATTTAAATATTGTGCTGGTTTGGGGTGTTGGTATGTGCAGTAGTTGCAGTAGTTGCAGAGTTAGCAATCTAAAGTGCTCCAATCACAGAGCAGCTCCCCTACCCCATACCACAAGTAGTGATATTGACCTGAAAGCCACCTAATGAGAACTGAGCTTTGTTTAAATGGGATTAGTGTTTCTGCTCGCTCAGTGTCTGAGCCAACTCCCAGTGATGCTAATAGGAATCCTTCCTCTGCCTTCACCGGGAGCTGCATGAAACATCAGTCAATAGCAACTGCATCTCTTCAGATCAATAACTCTTTGCATGTGGCTCTACAATAGCTGTGGTAATAATTAGCAATTATTATCAAGACAGAGCGAATTTGAACTAGTGACTGAAAATGTAGATTAAATTCTCTACTGACTCACCACAGTAAGTATTTTAACTCATAGAGCATGGCGGAATTTTGTTCAGCAAATTAAGACTGTCACCATTTCCAGCAGCTGCTTTTCTTTCGCTGCTAAATAGCTTTTCCAAGCAGTCACCTGGTATGATACTGTTTAGCTTATGAAACCTAACAGTGTCACAGGATTTAGTAAAGTAGACAATGATTAAATACTTCTTTGAATTTTGTATGAGATACTCAGATTTCCTGAGCTTGTGAATAGTGTTTTTGTCACGTTTCGGTCAATCTCTGAGCTTCTGCTTTTCTTAGCAGTGCTTGTACCCCTCCTTCACCCCTAGCTGCTGCCACCACAGTCATCTTTCTTTCACAGGTTAACTACTTTGGTCTTCCTTTCTATCATTTTCCTCCTTTCTATCATGCTGGATTAATAGGATTAATCCCTATGTATCCTTCCAGCTAGAGAGAATAGAGTCATCTGCTGCAGAAGTCTTTCTTCCTGACCTGCATAACCAGTCAAAAGGGACTAGTATTGAAGATTTGCCACTCTCATCAGGACAGGAAATGGGTTGGAAAGGATATCCCAGTGTCTCCGTGTTTCCACAGATGAGCTGCTAAAAATCAATGCCAGGAGTGTGTGCCTGTTGTGTGGGAACAACAGCATAAGTTTGCAAATAGGAGGGCACAGCATAGTTCCACTTGAAATCTAACTTGGAGCAGATTAACTGCACTGACACCTAGACTGGATGCCTAATATCATAGTTCTTACAAACTATCTGTAGTTAGTATATAGTGTATATAGTGTATAGTTAGTGCAGGTGACCCTTTGAGATGGTGATGCAGAGCACTGAAGGTAGAGGAGTGATGCTGCCCGTGGTGCCCACTCTGAGCCACCTCAGGAAGCGTCAGCTTCTTTCCTTTGACTAGAGAGACAGCCTGGCATCTTCCTAATTCATGCCCAGCTGGTGTCGGGCAGTGCCAGTACCCATTGCTTCTCATCCTCTCCGTGTAAATGATACAGAGGCACAAAGGAGGGAACAATGGTCCGTACTGTATTTTCTGCCTGACTGCCATGTTTGGTGCAGCTAAGACATTYGGTTGACTTCCTTCCGTCTGGAAAGTCCTCATCAAAAAGCGGCTCTTGAGTGGATGTCACAGAGCTCCACTGAGTGAAGCACTAACAAGGTGAGAAGCTCCTCAGGCAAACAGTAATTGTTCAGCAAAAGCTAAGCTGCCTTTCTCTCTATCATTCCTGTTAATTTAATCAGATCTGGGATATATAGTTGAGCAAAATATATTTTTGCTATGGGTTTTAATTTATGAATCAAAATATGTTTTTTTTGTAACAAATGTAGCCCAGACTGCTATGCCTAAGACTTTGCAATAGTGAGGGAACAATAGATAGAAATTAATAAAAAATTCTTTTTTTTTCATACATCATACTTTAGCAGATGAGTTTGTATGGTTTATTAGGCAGGATAATAAATTAGAATTAAACTAAATGTTAGTCTGTGCAGACTTCCATATATATTTGTACTCCATTCTTTATGTTTATGCTCCTAATTCTTTATGCTTTATCTCTGACTAGAAGATGGAAATCAGCCTTGGCTCTGCGGTGACTTCTTCAGCTTGGCAGATGTATCTCTTGCTGTCACATTACATCGCTTGAAGTTTCTGGGATTAGCAAGAAGAAACTGGGGAAATGGAAAACGACCCAACTTGGAAGCCTATTATGAGCGTGTCCTGAAGAGAAAAGCGTTTTACAAAGTTTTAGGACATGTCAACAATATATTAATCTCAGCAGTTCTGCCGACTGCATTCCGCGTGGCCAAGAAGAGAGCGCCCAGAGTTCTTGGCACCACCTTTTTGGTTGGCATGCTAGCAGGAATGGGTTATTTTGCTTTCATGTGTCTTCGGAAGAGGTTTGCCAACATGATGGTATCTATTAGAACCAGACAAAATTATTTTTAGGCTTCTCTGTCCCTGATGGTAGGTGGAGGTCATCTCTAGCCCCAGGAAAATATCAAAAATAAGCATATAAGAAAGGGTATGTCCATGAATTAGAACACTGTCACACAGTGGCTGTCTGCTGCTTTTGAGTAATTGGATTGGCAATGCTGGTACTTGTGGAAAATAAATGTTGAGGGTACAACAAAAGAAGAAGATAGTTTCAGATGAGGAGCTGTAAGGGCTGTGACAACACATTGTTAAAGTGATTATTGTTTCTGTCTACTTTACCCAATGCYTGACCTAATTTTAATGTTTTATTTAATAAGCACCTTTGTTGCAATATGACAGCTTTTCACTCTGGGTGAAATGATTACTGTGCACAAACCAGCAATGTTGAACAACTGAAAAAAGCACTTAAGTTTAAATGCTCAGAGAGGGATGTAGCTGRACTATAAGCTTTGTGCCTGTCATCCCTAGGGAAGCAAGTGCCTCTCTACTGGTTAATGTCTGTTAATTTGCAGTTGGACCATTGTGAATGTGTTAAAAAGTAGCCCGATAGAGTCACTTCTTCACACTATGTTCATGCAGTAGTACAGGAAGAGATCTGAAATTCATGTAAATATCTGTGATTTATGGGCCACAAGAGTGAAATTCTGGGGGGCAAAGGGGGGGAAAGTTGACAGATTCTGAACTTCTGTTGATTTACAAATGGTAATAAAAAGAAAAATGACTCTTGTCTTTCGAAAATCTCTTGGATAGTCTCTGGCCCACTCAGAAAACCAGCTCAGCCAMAAGCACTGACTGAGTCATAAACTCAATGCCCTTTTCCTCCTTGCACTCCCATCAGCTCCTTCTGCCTTTCGCACTTGTGGTAGCTTACTGTAGTTGCCTCTACGTATAGTGTCCCATGTGCCCATCCTCGTTTCAGCTCCTGAGCACTGGCTCTTCTTTTTAGTGCACAACTTAGATACCAGCAGTTGCATGTGCCTCTATGAAATGTTCTCCCATGTTGTGCCATGGACAATTAGAGAATGTGTGCACAAAAATGCCTTTTGTGAAAATAATTTAAAAGAGTTTGCTGCATTTGAACCAGCTTAGCTAGCCTTGGCTGAATGTGAAACAGCTGCTTGGCAGAGTCTGTAGGTAAAAGTGTCATAATGGTGAAAACAAGTGAAAAACAGGGCAGGCTGGAGACAGAAGAGAAGTCGTGGAGATTTTCTTTTTTTCTTTTTTTTTTTTTTTTGAAAATTCACAGTCCTGCAGCTAGTAGGAAAAATATTTAAGAACACTTTGTTGCTTTCTTCTATTCAGTAGATGATGAGTTTTATTATTATGTTTGAACTTAGATCCTGTTTCAATGAGAAATGCACTTTTACTGAAAGAAAAATTTGCAGACAAAAGGAAAAAAAAAAAACGCTGAATTTCTGATGGCAATCTAATAAGATTTTATATTCTTTTGTGAATGTCATTTTGATTATAAGCTGCAGATAACCAAAACAAGCAAAGTGTAGGTCCAAATGTATCATCAACCAGTGCCAACAGAGCAAGTACCTTTTAGATCTGATGCTGGTGGCTGTGGTCTCTCTCAACTGATGATTTTCAGTATCAGGAAGAGCCTCTCTAAAGGCTGAAGAGCACAGATGTGTTTTTTATCTCGGCAGGCTTACTCTCTACAAGATATCAAAATGGATAACATTGTTGAATATTGCTGCTTATAATTTCATGTTGTGTTAGCCATCCAGCAAAAGAGGGCCCAAATCTCATTGCTCCTTTCTCTTAATAAATAACATTTACCTAGAAAACAATGCTCTTTCTTGTATTTGTCAGAAAGACTTTTTTTTCTTTCTTTTTTATTTTTGGTTATTCTATTCCATGACACTGTTGTTTTAAAAAACTTGATGAATTAAATGTGCTCTATTTAGAAAAACTTGTTATCTCTAGAGTAAATTTAATCCAACAATACTGTTAATGTGCTGGCAAATTTAAATGGGTGCAGTTATTCATGTACTGCAGTGTATCTGCATTTACTTGTAACGATCTTCCATTAGGTTTTTAGACAGAGGGTAAGCCCCGCAATGTAATGTTTCTTTGCCATGTATTTATGACAGTTCATTTGTAAAATATAATCTGATCGAACCACAGTAAAGTTCAATATGTATGATTTTCTTTTTTTTTTTTTTCTTATCAGAAAGCYGTATTTGATTTGTCTCTTTATTTTATTTATTTATTTATCGAAGCTTTGGGTCTAGATAAGGATGCACTCCTATTCCAGAAGCTCAGCAGGTTGCAGGCACAGCGTGGCACTGTACGCTGGCTCTGCAGTTTTACTTTCCCCATTTTCTCCCCATCAAAAAAACCAAATCCTCGATCCTCCTGAAACACCAAATCCTCTAACCTTCCGAAAAAACGAATCCTTGATCCTTTGCTGTTGCTCCGGTCAGGAGGTGCAGCTGTCGCTGGGAAGGCCAGGAGTGGCCACCAGATGTCAGTGCTGCCCAGCAGCTCCAGTCGCTCCTCGCTCTGGAGAGCCCTGGCGCTGAGCGCGAGCCGGGTTGCTGCTGGGAACAACATGCCCATGGATGGAGGGAGAGGTGGCCATAAGCATCACCCTCAGATCAGCGTCTCTCAAAAACCYTGGAAATGCCTGTATGTGCCTCCTGGCACCTTTCAGGTGACTCTTGTGAATTTTCTTTCTAGTCCGGCTTATTTTCTCCTCTTTGGCACCTCTGGACATATATACAAGCAGTCTCTTGTTTTTTCATTTAGTATTTGCTCTCATGTCATGCCTAAGATATATTTCATATCTTATCTTTCTATGTGGGACCAGCAAAAATAAACACTGACTCCATGACTACTTACTAGACTGGTTTATGCCTCCTATTTCAGTAAACCACACACCTTTGAGGTTCACACAATGTTGTTCTAAGGAGATGGTGTTCAAGAAAGAGGCCTCTGAAATGTCAGTGGAAAAGGTCTTGAAGAGGTTACCTTAGCTGTATTTGGAAACAGCAATGGCAGTGGTAGTTTCTTTTGTATATCTGTATGATGGTGAGTAGAAGCCTTTTAATAATGTTATAAAAAGGAGACCATGCAGTAACTTTTTATATAGGTCTAAAACACATAAAGGGCACTGAAAGCTATACAAATGAAAATGCCAAAGTTGCAATAAAGGTGGTATCAAGAGTTCACTTTCAAAAAAAGAGCCAGGTTCAGATCTGATATGATTGTCACAAAAAAATTAGTGGTGCGTCTACTTACATCAGGTCTGAATTTAATTTTAAAGTCATTATGCTATGAATCACCTTTCAAAACTTTGCAATGCAAAGCTTTTTTTAGTCAACCTATTTGTTATGAAAGTGACACTATGCCCTTTTAAAATAAATATGCAGAGTTAAACTTAGAAACGCATTTATTTTGTTCAAGACTTTAATATGGGCATTAGGGATTGAATCAAAAATTGTGCAATATGCAGTTACTTTTGGAATAAAGAATTATTTTAAAGGAAGTCTGAGCATGTATGTTTAGGATTGATGCTAGAATAGCATCATACATTTTTTTTTTATTCTCTGCATTTAGAAGAATACCATAAAGCTATATCTGACTAGTTTTCAGCTCTTAGCTACACATTGTGATACAAGGAAGATTCATCAATCAAAAATATACTGGGTTTCTGTTATATGAAGGAAGGTAAAAATAACCGTGCTTAGTTAATGTTCTGATCAGTCGCATACTGGGTAAGGGTTCTGCCCATCCTTGATATCAGAAAGGCTTCTTGGAAGCCTTTTGTGCAGCAAGAAACATGAAAACATTCCCAAAACTTTTGGCAGCAGAGCAGCACCAGTAAAAAGAGCTCAGACTGCAGTTCTACATCTATAGCAGCACTTGGAGGCAGAAGTCCAAGAGAGACAGAAAGAAAGTCACTGCAACCCAATGGTCTCACCTGAAATTTGGTAGAAGCAAACCTAGCTTTTAATGCAACACAAGAAATGGCAATATTTAATCTCAGAAATGCTTCTGACTGGTTGCATGGCTGTCTAGGTTGGCATGAGAGGATGCCTGGCTATTTCTCTATGTTGTATTGCCGTTTATTACATCTATTAGACTAGCGATAATATTTTTGTAAGGCTCTACATAGAAAGATCAGGAATCAGGAAATCTCCTATTTATTTGTGCATATTTATATCTTGCACATATATCTGTAAACAGAAAGGTTTTAAAGACATATTTATGAAGAAAAACACATTTATAGATTGCTCTTAAAGTAATTTGGGTTTGAAATGCCCAAGACAGCCCAAAGATAGCCTTCTCAGAGCACAGGCACTGGAATAAGACATCAGTCAGATGATCTTATCTATGGAACTGTCTTCAGCCATGTTTCCAAAGTACAGAGACATCATTAAAAGACTGGAGGATCTCTTTTCAGAGTGCACTAGCAGATGGATTACCTTAACATTTTTCCATTGTCTTTTATTTTGTTTATTTGAATAACAACCCCTTCACACTTTATAGAGAGCTATACTGCACTGTGTGCAATATTATAATCTAAGAAAAATATTACCACTGCAGATAATTTGTTGCTGAAGGGGAAGAGCCTTTGTTTATGGTGTATGAGAGTTCACCCAAAGACCATTTCATTGGTGCATGCAAGGAAATGTATGATTATTACACTGTTTATTAACTCCTTAAATAATGATTCCTGTTATTATTATAGTTCGTATGACTCAATCAAAAATGAATCTGCTTAATGATATACTCCATATTTTAGTAACAGTTTAAAGCACTAAGCCAAGGTAGTGATAATAACTRGGCTTATAATTCATTCATTATGTATTATTAACAAATTCTAGGTTTTTGCAAGTATTACAATTGATTTCTCTGCAGGATCTTGTCTCAAAAGCAGTTTTGTTCTCCTACATTGCGATGCTTTCTGCTACGTTTGTACAGAGTGGCTCTAATCTGGGTTGTTTGGCCTCTAACCTTCCATTCCCTAGGGTCCTGCTTGCTGTGGGCACTTGATGAAGTGTTGCATTTTGTTAACACTCAGTCACCAGACTGAATGCCGGAGTGGATATTGTCTATGTCACCATAATATGCCACATTGTCTACATGAGAATAATATGTTGTATTTCTAAAGTGCTGGATGTCTGGGAGTCTTAATGAACTTAACAATAGTGAATTCAATATATTGACTAAGTTATACTATAATATATATTATATTAAAATATAAAAAGAAATGTATATGTATTAAACATAATATTACAACAGTGTTGTATCACAAATGGGGAAAAAAAACAGACGCAGATGCAGATCTGCAGATGCAGATTTTAAAATATGCAATTACAGTTAAAATCTGCAGTTTTAACAGTTTTACTGTAACTGGTGTACTGATAGATTTGTTTATGGAAATGGGGAAATTCTGGAGTTTTGGGGTCCCTTTGAAAAAAGAAAAAGAGGTAAAAACTTAGGCTGGAAAAGGAATAAAAAAGTCATTCTTTTTCATTCCATGATTTCCTATTTAAATGCTGCATGTTACTACTGCCATAATTTACAATGCATTTTTTGAGGAAGTTTGGAGTTGCACAAACTGACTCTGTCTGCCAAAACAGTTTAATTTAATATAATTGCTTGCTGAGCATAAGAAAGCAAGGAATTTCTCAAGTTTCATATACTCTAAAGCAAAGCTCTTTGTAATAATAGCTGCTTGGCATTAGCTTTAATTGATATGACAGATACTTCTGGTATTTCCTGGTATTCTGCTTTTCCTTCCTTGAGGAAAACACACATATTATTCCAATTTTACCTGTCTTCAATATTCTGTGTCCAAATTCCCTCCATTATAAATATAATCTTGCAATAATCTGACATGGAGAACGCCAGTTCACCAGACCTTAATTGAAAAAATTCATTTAACATACATCTCTAGTCTGTAACGCAATTAGTTTTTTTCATGACAGCCT